TTGCTAAAGATCTGTGTGTAAACAAATATTGTTTATTAGTAGTCTTATTGAGACTAGAACTCATAGGGAATCAAATCGATTTATGGATGGAATCAGGTATGCAGTAAAATCTGTATTGATCTTCTCTGTCAATATATATTTTAAATTTGAAAATACTGTGTTTGTATTCATCCCCCCTTCTACAAACTGTTTCTATTCTTGTAGACCCTTACGGGACCAACACATTTGTTCTTGTATATGAAGTGAAATTGGTTTCATTGTATATGAAGATACATTGAACCAGTGTTCCTAGATGTAAACAGCAGCAGTATCAACAGACGTAGAGTACCGTTAAAAGTCAATGTGAGGATTCAATATATGAAAATGACTGGTCTAATGTACATTATTATACGTCATGGATTGAAGCTGGTTTCATATAAATCAAATTTAGATCTTATAAATGCATTAACTAAAACTATGTAATAAGCTACAATAAAACCAATGAACATATCTTTATACAGATTGCAATAATTACTCTCCAATGAAATCAAATTCGACTTACATCAATGAAAGCAATTCAATACCTTCAGATTCATTACTCAACGATGCAACATCATCATCGACAAAATCATCAAAAACTCCGTCATTAATCGAGACACTATGCTCACGTATTATTTCATCTCGCCCGCTGCAACCATCCTCATCCCTAGCTGAATAATTGCATTGATCTTGGATTGTATTATCATTATCTGCGGTTGGATTTTCACCAACAAGATCAAAAACTTGACTGTTACCATTCATGGAATCGAAAACACCGATTTCACCAACAATATCCTTAACAAATGTCTCGTTGAATGACATAGAATCTATAATACTAGAAAAAGATGTTTCACCTCCTAGTTGGTCGATCGCAGGTTTCATTTTGTATAGTTTATAGAAGTTATATAATTTCCATAACTGCTTCAATTATTAATGGGAAATAAAAGGATTCACCATAAATAGGATATAGAATATTTTTAATTAAAAATACTAATAATCATCTAAAATTAGTAAAAGACATATTTAACCTTTTCAGTTAAAAAAAGAAATTCATTGATTGGTTAGAAAATAGTTGTAAGGATTGTACAAATGGACATGATTGCATTTGAAATATACTTTATATATATATATATATATAATATTATGTAAAGAGAGAGTACAACTATTTTCATTGGTGAAAATATTTACTTTATATAAGCAGAATGTCACTTTCATAGGTAAAATTGCTTACATATCTTGATAGAGAGGTTTGATCATTTAAAAACTTTAAAATTTGTAAGATTTGTGAGAACTTCTATCTTAAGTTTGTTTCACATGATTTTCTTATGTTTAAATATAGTATTTAATATATTCATTAACAAATATTTTTTTACAATATGTTCGTTTAACAATGTGAAAAAAAATTATGTTTTTTTTTTATTTTACAAATACGTCAAAAATATTCACACTACCAACCAAATACATATGAAATAAAAACATTATAAAATAAACATATATTAATCAATATTTTAAATCCTTGTATTAAATTTAAAAAAAATAATATAGAGTAATACATAATCAAAAAGTTATCAAGGTTATACAATTTAATGATTTCATAAAAAAGAGGGTTATAGAGATAAATGTTTTTCTATCAATTAAATTGAATATATATATATATATATGTATATATATATATATATATATAAAAGACGTTTCAAATGTAACTCATTACATTTATACAACCAATACAACTCAAATGTAAATGATGAGAGTTCATTTATTATTATTTGAATATTTATGGAAGATAACTAAGGTTCATTAATTATGATTAATATTTTATATTAGGAAACAATTACAACTTTAATGAGATCACATATTCATCAAATTAAATAGACAATTGTAAAAAATTGTATAATAACTCCTCTCTCTCTCTATATACATATATATATATATATATATATACACTATATACCTATTTCATGACTGCATCATTACTGTTGAAGTAAACATGTGAATTGAGCCATCATTTTCTTGCTACAATTCCTTCTAACACATGATACAATTTGTACTAAATTGTGGTTGCACGTGCAACTTTTGTCACAATAATTATGCTTATTCTTCCCCCTCCTCCTCTCAATGTCTGTTTATATTCAGTTATAGCCTTATAGCTATAGCTTGAAATAAAAAGTTAAATATTTTAAGAAAAAATAACATGTTTTAATATTTATATATAATTATATATATGATACATAAACTTAGAGGTTATTTATTTGCGCTTTAATTAAACTTATTGATCTATCTAGCTTATTCGTACAGTTTATTTGGGTTGTTTACTTGCGGCTTATTTAGGCTTATTGGTCTATTTTGCTTATTCGCACAGCTCATTTGGGTTGTTTACTTACGGCTTAATTAGGCTTATTGGTCTATTTGGCTTATTCGCACAGCTCATTTGGGTTGTTTACTTACGACTTATTCACACAGAACATGGATTAATCACACACAGAACATGGATTAATCACACAAATAAAAATGGTGTGTTGTCCTCATTCAGCAACAAAAATGACACCCCTACCCCTTATTTAAAGCATCGCCTCCTTCCCATATGAGACACCCCATCTTCGGCCTCTTTATGGTTTTTTGTTTTGATGTTCAAATAATTAATGTTAAGGGGGTAAAGTGGTCATTTATGTTATTCAAACTGTTGGTTCAAATAAAAAAAAATAAACAACAACACTCATTTTTCCAGACAGACAAATTTATCCGGACAGACAAATTTATCCATACAAGACTTAATAAAAAATTTGGTATCCATATATAATTAAACACATGTTGTATTAACAACATAGAAACGCTTAATCATATATATTGAACACATTCAAAAAAGTATAATCATATATGATATTGAAACTTGTCGTCTTCTCGCAAAGAGCCTTTGACCTAGCGATATGAGTATTTAGCCTTTTAGGAGGTCAAGAGTTCAAACTTCATCAAAGGTGATGAGCGTGCGTGAGTTTATTTGTTCTATTTGTCATTATATACTTTTCAAATAAATATAATCATATATAATATTGAAACTTGTCATTTTCTCGCAAAATATTTAACTTTTCGCTTTACTCTTCCTCCCTCTCTATATATATATATATTAATTATGTACATTTATATAATAAAATATCATTGAAATATTTATCCGTCAGAGATTCTTTAACCTCAACGTAGTAATGAATAGTTGTTGATTGCTACATAAAGTTTAGAGATAATTATACAAGGGTATTGTGCTATAAAAATAAGCAGACTAAATTACGGATTTGGTCCCTAAGATATGTTTAAAAGTTACATATTTACTCTTTTATATTCATTTATTACAAAAAAACCCTCTACATAAGTAGGTTTTTAAGGATTTGGTCGCTCACACTAACAACCATCCAATTTATGTAATTTACTCTAAATTATATTATATTATATTTTTTATTTATATTTTTTGTATTTGAACATTTTAAATTTTATATATTTATATTTTGTACTTTATATATATAAATTATATATATATATATATATATTTTCTAAATTATATTACATTTTTATGGTTTATAAATTATATATTTATATTAAACTAGAAACTATAATCAAAATATTATCAATTTCTTTTGTTAAATATGCAAAATCCGTATATTAATATCGAGTATTTATACACCAAATAATACCACTATGATCAATTATTTAAATAGTTAAAATGTTATCCATTTTTTTCTTAAATATTAATCAATAAAAAACAAGATAATACCTTTAAAAATACCCTCTTCATCTTCTTTTACTCATCAACCCACGAAACACCTATCAATCACCACCACAATCAAATCTTAACTTCATCAACACAAATACAAACTAAATTGAGTACAAAATTTATAACAAATTAAAGCAAAACTGAGATTAGTCATTGCATCAAATCGTTGTACAAGATTGGATTGTTCCTATAAATCAAAAACACAAAATTTACAAAAATCCTAAATATTAATTTGGACGCAAGATTCACGACCAAAACCTAATCTTAATCTGGATGCAAGATTCACCACCGTGAGATCGAAATCTTGAATAATCAAAATCATAGTAGATGCCTCGGTGCTGGTAATATGGGAGAGCGTCTCAGACCATCGGAGATGATGAAAGAGAGAGGGACGTCACACCGAGAAGAAGAAGTTGGTGAAGATGGTGTGTTGCCAGAGTAAAGAAATAAAGGGCTTTTAATGGAATGAGTCCATTAAGTTATAGAAAAACAAACAGTTTCTTTTATGTTCATTCTTATTGATTATTGTTTAATACTTTTGACTAAACACCCCCTCAAATCATGAATTGTATTCAACCGAATTTAACTTCATATATCGAACATCTATATGTACTAGTATCAATGTACGTACATGATTTGATCAACTATTTAGTGAGCACCATCAAAAATATTGTTTTCTAATGGACAAAACCTACTAACATAAGTTTTGCTTGAAATGAATTATAGATGTAGGGTTTTTACCTTCTATATGTGATATGTTAACTTGCAATGCAAGACTTGTAATTAACTTTAGGTAATAAAATATGTTAATGAAATGTTTACATATAACCATTGGAAACATGTGATAGAATTATATTATGAGATCTGAGACGGTAAGAAAATTTATCTAACTATATACATGCAACAGGGTTGTTTGGAATTGCTTATTTGAAACAACTTATGCTTTTCTACAAAATCACTTATCAACTTATTATAAGTCAGAAGGGTTAATCTTCTTCAAAAACTCTTTATTACCGGTTTGACGACTTATTTGGTTTTCTTGTTGTTAAACTCTTTTTCCAGTTTTCTAAACAATTAATTTTGGGAATATAAAGAGACGATTTGATGAGCGTTGAAGCCAATGTTGATTGGCATGTTATGTTATGTTATGTTCTCCTTCCTCTCAACAGCCTGTTTCAAAGATGGAATTATAAAATATATAAAAAATACCCATAAAAAAGAAGACATTGTTGATGTGCCAGTTGCTTGCTAGGGTTTTGTTTTGTCTACAATCTCTCAAATAAAACCCATTCCCTTATTTAACCTTTTCTTTTTCTTCTCTCATATCTCTTACCGTATATAAATGTTGTTGCTGCTACAATGTTGTGGTTGCTGATCTTGCTTCTCTCTCATTAACTCACCTCCAGCAATTGCCACCATCAACTCAACAACCATTACAAACAATCAACCGCAGCTAGCTGTGGTGTGGTGTGGTGTGGTGTGGTGGTGTTTGATGTGGAACCCTAATCAACCGGATGCAACTTCCCACGAAGAAGATGATTCATGGGAGGTGAGAGCCTTTGCTGAAGACACTGGAAACATCATGGGCACCACTTGGCCACCGCGCTCCTACACTTGCACATTTTGCAGGAGGGAATTCCGGTCAGCTCAGGCTCTTGGTGGCCACATGAACGTGCACCGCCGCGACAGGGCTCGCCTCCACCAATCTCAGCCCAATTCGAAAAACCTGTATAATATCTCTTCTTCTAATTCTTCTTCTTCTTCTACTCTCTTGATCCCAACTCAAGAGCTTGTTGGAAATGGTGGTCTTTGCCTTCTTTACTCTTTACCTACCTCTAATGCCCTTTTCAGCCCTTTGAAAACTTTCACTGATAACCCCTCCAGTTTTCTCTCCATTGCCCCCCACCCCACAACTGCTAATTTGATGAATTTTCCAGCAGCTGTGCCTCCTCATAACATCCAATCTTCTCCATCGAATTCTAGCAACACTGAAGCATCCATGTCCACCAATAACCATAACAATCGAGTTACCTTGACCACTTCAGAAGTTGCAGAGATAGATCTAGAGCTGCGACTAGGCCGCAGTCGCAGTTCTTCATCGCCTTCTTGAGTAACTAAACAAACACATACATGGTGTGTTCTTTTTGTGTGTTTCTTATCATGTTTTTTTGTTTTAGAGCAAAAGAGTGGCCTGCAAACACCGATCCTTTTTACCCTTTGCAAATCTTCACAAAGGTTTGATTTTTTGGTTTGTTTTTGTGTGATTAAGAACAAAAAAGGTGTTGTAAATCAAAAGAAATAGAGGGGTTAATGTAGCTGAATAATGGTGGGATGATTTCGAGAAGAAGAGAGGAAGTGACAGTAAAGAACACGGCAGTGGAGTGTCGTTTTCCAGTCCAGGTAAACCTATCCGTAGCTATGGGTGTTGTTCATACCACATATATATCACAAGTGCATTTATACCTCTTGTTAGTTGTTACTGCTAATAACACTGGTTGCCCTTCACCATTTCTTTCTCTCTCACATAACAATCCAACTTCAATTCATCATCTGTAATGCAAATTGTGAAATGAATTCATTAATTTCTTCCTCCCATTTGTCTTTCTTTTCACAAGTTTTGATCTTCTCCTTTCATTGTACTACACCGGTAATAAGCACTTGTGAATGTTTGGATCAACAACTTGTCAAACCGGTAATAAGGAGTTTTTTAAGAAGTTAAACCTTTCTGACTTATAATAAGTTGATAAGTGTTTTTGTAAAAAAAAACATAAGTTGTTTCAAATAAGCAATCCCAAGCACCCTCATATTTACCTCTTAAATCTAACTCTGATTACATGAAAGATGGAGTAACATTAAACGTAATAAAATTAAATTAATATTGGTTAAATTATAATGCGGGTTAATTAAGATGTTTGAAGTACACATTAATATAAGCTAGTTAGAACCTGATATCGCTCGATGGCATCTATATTAATTAACGGATCAAGTGGGTCAAGTCCCCTTGCTATATCGGGGTCCTAGGTGCAACGCCCCAAAACAAAAAAAAAAGGTTTAAGAGAGCCGACACTAATGCTTTTTTGTGTTAGGTTGTTTTATATTCATTAGTGTTTGGTAACAATGATGAATGTGCAATCAATGTCTCTTGATGGTATAAGTGGCAGTGCATGCCATCAACGGTTGATGCTATCAACAGTTGATGTTATTAGCATTTGATGTCGATGGATTTTCCCAATGATGCTACTTACAGATGTTAATCAGTAGGTGATACCACCGGTTCATAAGTACTCTATTTAACTTCTTAACCACCCAATAGTTACCCATAGTTTCCGGCAATCATTTCCCTTCAATAGGGCATTCGTTCTTGGTTTTGATGTATGAATTGCTATGATTTCTTTAGGTTTATAGATTATGATTTCTATATATCTAAATCATGACTATGAATTGAAATTATCCTCGAGTAAATTTCTTGATATCAAAGCCGATTAGGGTCGAAATATTACTTAAGGAAAGCGAGCTCACATTCTTATAGGAGTAATTACTTTGATCTCTCACTAAATCCCGTCTCCCCCAACATGTAGCTTTTAACAAAGACTGATAACACCAATAGAATAAAACCATAAAACTCTTTATCTCATGAGATGATAAATGAATGTTGAATGTCATTCAGCTAATCCTTGATAGATAAATAACAAACTTTGGGGACATATCGCAAAGGATGACAATGCCAACACAAGAATAGTGATGAATTTCTACGTACCAATAACACATGTATTATTTGGTAAGTAGGCTAAAGAATAATATAACAAATTACTCAGCAAACGCGTTTTATATAGCAGACAGAGTTCTTGAAACTTTTGGTAATGATTAAGCTTAACACAATTAATAAAAGTCTTTATATCAAAAACAGATCATAATAGGCTAAATGGCTAATTTGGTACAATAGGAAGAAAAAAAAAACTCAAACTTTCAAGAACAATTATTCGGCAACAATTCTTAAAAAATCCAAAATTATGATCAAAACTTATCAATTTGTAAAAGAAATTGATTCAGATTTCATTCATGATTAAAACTGAATCAATTTGAATAAGAAATGATCACTAATTCCTCAAAATCAACAAGAGATCAAGAACATAGTCTTCCGCGAAATCAACAACAATGATCAAGAACACAGTTGATACTAAAAACTGAGTTTAACCTTCAAAAATCTTTCAAAGTCCAACAAAATTGAATCAAATAACACTTGATTTCTGTTCTGATACCAATTGTTAAACCTGGATTCAAGTATTATGAAGAAAGCTTCAAAGAATCATTAATGGAAGAATCATGTTTTCATTGATATTGAGAGAGAATCTTACAAACAGGTGCTCATTGAAATAAAAGATCAAAGTTACCAAACAAATTAACACAAAAATATTTATACCCCAAGGGTATTTACAAGATTAGTCCTACAACTTGAATACAATTAAACTTTAAATCCTAACATTGTGTATATCTATTATTTACGATAAAGATCATGTTTCCATGTCTCTTATCATTCCTGTAACTATTTATACTCGTCTTCATACATAATGAAATATAGAACAGAGTAATTCTTTTGTTTATAACCTTGAATTAAAAATTCTTACGGTTGTCACAATATTTTATTTTGAGGTTCTCCTTTAATTACTTTCCAATATATATATATATATATATATATATATATATATATATATATATATATGGGCTTAATCAAATTGCAGCCTGTGCACTTGCTGAGATATTGACTTTTTGGTGAGTTTGAGAAAGTTGGCTAAAAGGTTAATTGAACCAGGTAAAACGATTATTTACATTAATTTCCCTTTTTGGAGGGTATGACAGTCAATTTTTTTTTTTTTTGTAAGAGTAGTCATCATAAAAGGGTTAGGGTTATGATTCTCATATATATATATATATATATATATATATGTATGTGTGTGTGTGGGAGTGTGAGAGAGATTTAAGTACTACATTATGTATTTGAGAATTCTTATCTTGAGATATTTGGGTAATTTTTAGATCAAAATCCACACATAGAAAGAGGAAAAGAAGATTAAATAATTTTGGTAATTTTTAGTTTATAACCCTAACAATGAAATGTTGTTTCACACAGTGAAACAACGTACGAGTTAAATGTAATGTTGTTTCACGATACTACATTGGTTAATACTTGAGCATTATTTCATGACATGAAACAAAATAACATTGTTGAAGTGAAACGCTAAAATGTTGATTCACACTATAAAAATGTGAAGAACAAGTGATGTTGACATGAAACACAAAGTAAATATTGAAGTTTTGCTTGACATGATAAAACGACACTGGTTATTTAATAATACAAAACTAAATGTTACTGATATGAAACACAATAAAAATGTTGACGTTATAACTCACCGAAAATTATAATTGATTGAAAATTTTTCAAAAAAGTTAATGATGTTATTCATTTATTTGATATAGTTTTTTAATTAAAAATTTATTGTGGTTAAAATATTAGATTTAAAAAAAGGTGTTTTATTTTAGTTTAAAAATAATAGAAAATGATTAATCAAAGGAAAAAAAAACAATAGATAAGCCACCGATTCTATAAAGTATTTAAAAAATAATATTTTAATTTAGTTAAAAATAAAAATAATTAAATTTATATAATCAAAGAGAAAAAGAAAAAGATATTGGATCTCAAAAAATGTTCCTTACAAGTCCTTCAAGTTTGACATAATTAACTATATAATTTGTTGATATTATAAATGTCATTTAAGTTAATGACCCTTGGTTAAATCAATTTAGTGATTAGATCGGTTATCAATTTTTTTAATTTTTTCTTATGGTTCTCATTTGATTTAGCCTATTTATATATATAGATGAATGATCATGTGAAAAATAGAGTTAATGTAAGAAGCATAATAAGAGATCTCCATCTTTGATCACTTTTAATCTCATTTTCACTCATGAATTATGCTTTAGAAATGAATTGATCTGGTACATCTCATTAATGTTGATCTTCAATTAGAATTGATCCAAGAGTAGAAATCATTTCTCCCCCTTCTCATCATAACTTGCCTTCTAACTGGAACTTAACCATATGGGCCTAATCAAATGAGAACTGATTAGTTTGTGGTAACTGTGAGGTCCAATCTCAACTACAAATCAACGGATAAATTGGGAAATTAATAATTATGATAGTTTGAGTTAAAATTATAATTAGAAAACATATTAGGTATTTTAAAAAAAAACTCCTCTCTCTCCTCTCCTCTCTCCTCTCTCATCTCTCCGACCTCCACTATCTGACCTCCGATGAAATCGGTATCACAGTATATCACAATGGGTATCACATTGTGTATCTTTTGTTTTTAAGGTTTGAGTTGGTATCACAGTATATCACATTGTGTATCTTTGTGATTACTTGGTACCTGCCGGATTAATGTTTGCCGGAGGCCGAAGATTGAAGGTCGAAGAGATGAGAGATGAAAGAGGAGAGAGAAGAGAGAATAGAGGAGTTTTTTAAAAATACCTAAAAAGACTTCTAATTATAATTTTAACTCAAATTACCATAATTATTAATTTCCTAATTTATCCTATGATTTTATGGTTGAGATTGGATCTCACAGTTATCACAAACTAATCAGTTCTCCCTTTAATGGGCCCCCTTAACCATATATATATATATATATATATATAGAGAGAGAGAGAGAGAGAGGGTTGGGTTCACGTGAGACCAAAGGTTTTTCGTGAGACCCGTAAGACCAATTTATGTTCATTGATTAACTTTATAAGTTAATGATCTAATGGTCTAAATTGCACGGTGGCAATTTTGTGATTATTGAGAAGTCTCATGGCGTTTATGAATGTTTAGATTGTCAAATTGTAGATCTAATCCAAAGGTTGAAAATTGGTCTTACAAGTCTCATGAAAAACTATTGGTCTCACATGATCCCAAGTCTATCTATATATATATATATATATATATATATATATATATATATTGGGCAGGATCAAACGAAAACGTTAAATATTTAATAAAACAAGAAAAATATCGTTAATGTACAAAATCATATATAATTCACGTATAAAATCATACATGATTCACAGACACAGACACAGACACACACACACACACACACACACACATATATATATATATATAGGAGGTTTACTTTGCAAACCATCCATTTCATACAAACCTTACAAGCTAATCACATCCATCCATTTTTTTTATGAAAGTCCAAGATTGAAACAAACTAAATAAGTAAAGTAAAAAAAAATTCATATTAGAGACACGGAAGGGCAAAACAGGGAAAACATGTTTTATGAACCTGTTTCATTACAACTGTTATACATATGAACCTGATACAATCGTATATGACATAAAAACCTGTTTCATTACAGCTGTTATACATATGAACCTGATGCAATCGTATATGACATATGAATCTGTTTCATTACAGCTG